TTTATTCTCTACTCTTTACTGAAGTTTGTCTCCATTGACTGGTGGCCTGTTGAAGATCGTAAATGTCTTTGTTTTGCTTTTAGGGCACTGTGTTTCTTAAAGTTGGAGTTCCTGGACCTCCTGCTTCATAGGTCTCCAGATGCGCTTATTAAGGAACGCGAGTTCTGTGCCTAATCCTAAACTCACTAAATCAGAAACTCTTGGCAAGTGGGAGCCTGAAATCTACATTTTCACCTGTTTCTTGACTGACCTCTGTCTGTGTAGGGGTGAATGTTAAAGATTTAAAGGCAAAAGAGACTAATATGCATCTTACAAATAGAGAAGGAGAGAAAATAGGGAGGTAGCATTAGGAGACACTCTGGAAAATAGATTTTTTGAGGAAGAAAAAAATACTGCAAAATTATTTTTATATAGACAAGTTAGTTATATATTTTATCCTTTATCCACGCTCTTTATTTAGCTAATTCATCTTTCTTTCCTCTGATTTCACTTTTTTCATTTAGTCTGTTTTAACACCTTTGTTAAAAGAAGGGAAACAGAGGAAAAATAGGTGAAACCTAGGAATGTAATATCTTCTTAAAAGCAATTTAACTTTCTTGGCCAGGCGTGGTGGCTCACACCTGTAATCCCAGCACTTTGGGAGGCCGAGGCAGGTGGATCACCTGAGGACGGGAGTTTGAAACCAGCCTGACCAACATAGAGAAACCCCATCTCTTCTAAAAATACAAAATTGGTGGGGTGTGGTGACACATGCCTGTAGGCCCAGCTACACGGGAGGCTGAGGCAGGAGAATTGCTTGAACATCGGAGGTGGAGGTTGCAGTGAGCCGAGGTTGCCACTGCACTCCAGTCTAAGCAACAAGAGTGAAACTTCACCAAAATAAAATTTAAAAAAAGCAAAGAAATTTAACTTTCTTTAAATGTATCTATCTTGACCTTTTTGACGCCATCTAGCATTATTCAATTTGTCATTTGTATATTATTATATATTGGGAAGTAAAAAATAACTAGAATTATTTTTCAGACCTCAATGTCATTTACTATATTAAATTTATTTATTTGTTTGTTTTAAGGAAGAGCACATAAATGTATAGAACACTTTTTAAACATATGCATGGTAACGTCTATTGTTAAAGTGTGCCTTACACTTGACCTTAATCACTTTTCAAGGATTTTAGCACACTTACTGTTTTCCATGCCATAATAAGAAACTGTGGGACTTTTTAAAGCCTTTCAATGAATTGAATCCTCTGAAAATTGCTTCTAATAAAAAGGAAAACCTTTCATGTTACCAAATTTCAGTCACAATAGCAATCTTGAATCTGCTTGCCACTTAATTTCCAGCACAAGAAAGCAATAATGTTTTGGGGACCATTGTGTAGACCATTCCTCTGACTTCTGGGCCCACATTTAATTTCCAGCCTATGAGGATTAAAACCTGAAATTATGTTGTTATTTCAGTTTAGAATTATTTGTATTTTCATAATCATCATTAACAAGATTCAGGGAGTTATTGTTATAATCAGCTGTAATGATAGCTTTTATTATTAACAAGGCAGGGCAGACGATAAGGTTTGGCTGAATCTGAGGATAAGTGTGTCTATCACTCTGGTCTTTGTGCCAAACTGCACCTGAAAATGACAGGGACAGCTGGTCTAGTATGGTTACACTTGCTCAAGATCTTGGAAAGACATCAGTAGGGCAGACAGTTTAGGGCCTGGTCCTTCAGTGACTTGAGAAGAGAGACCTTCATGACCATGAATGTGTTTATCTACTGGAAGGTGAAAAATCAAGATAGATTCAGGACGTTCCTTGAAATGTTGGTGGTGGATAGGTAAAAATTCAAGCAGCGATTAAACAAAATTCCAAGGGTGAAAAACACAGTCTACAAAGAATGATAAAAATCTCTTACGGATTATTTTCAATGGAAGTTGTCCACTGTTACTTTAGTCCTCATTGGCCATCTTTGCAGATGCAAACTTTCCACTACCCCTCTGTATGCTGTCTCTTCCAGTTTGAATCACAAAACTCATTAAGAGCAGTTTTACCATAATTCCCAAGTGATCTCAAAAACATATATTGGTTCCCCAGAGGCATGGCACAATGCTGGGAGAAGATGATAGAGGCAGGCTGGAGAGGACATTGTGAGAAGGGTAGCCCAAGCTGAGCTGCTTTTCCTTTCACCAAGCTGCATTTTGGGAGAGGGTTAATCAGGGTGGGGCTAAAGCAAAGCCAACTTCTAGTCTCTCATCTGGAGCCCTGCTTGCCTTTCTCTAAGCATGAAAACTTCAAAATTTGTTTGGAGTTTGTCCTTTGCCTTTAATAAAATTTATAATGGCATTTCCATCTTCCTAGTAATATTTAGCACAAATAACGGTAATTCTAAAAATGCCCATTTTATTTGAAAAATTTAGAAATGTCAACTATCCTTTCCGATATTGAATGAATACATACCTACTCTCTCTCTCATAAACACACACAGACACACACTCACACTCACACGGCCATAATATATATTTTACCTTCTCTCAAGTGAGAATACATTTATTCTACTTCATTTTGAGGGGAGAAGGCAGCAAGAGCCAGGGCCTAAAGAGCCTGGTTAGCAGAAGATGATAGAGAGTTGGGGCTGTGGGATGGGCAAGGAAAAAGACCACACCTTGCAACAAACACTATGCTGAGATGATGGACTAGAAGCTTTTTTATTCCCTCCTTTTAAACCAAAAGTAAGGGCCAAGTAACCAATGACAAGTGATACGAATTATCAGTACCATGACACTGTGTTCTGGCCCCACTCCACTGTGATCTTTGTTATGGCTTTGGTAAGATCACTCTGCCAATCTGTGCTTTCAGTTTTCTCATCTGTGAAATGTGTTTAATCATGTTGACTTGTTTCCCAGGGAAGTAATGTGATATTTAATATTTGTGAAGCACTTTGAGATCTGATAATAAAAGGTGCATTATACTAAGTAGTGTTTGCTTCTCTCCTCCTCTCCTTACCCCCAACAGATAATCTATACTCCTATCATTTGCATATTTTCACAAAATTCATGTAAATGACTCTAGGCTGTTTTATGTTTTAAAAATTAATGCTGTGATATTTCTCCAGAACCTGACAAGGCCATAAAAAATAAAAAGAATAGCAGTGGTATACAATGAAGGGTAGAATCTTGTAGAAATCCATAAGAAAACAGATTACCGTTCTGGGCTTATGTGAGGTTATTATAAGCAACAGTGAGGAATAATGATTACAAAAATAAGGAAAAATACATTGACAGTGTCATTTGAAAACAATCGTGTTAAGAGGCCTTTTACACTCATTTTACACAATGTAGGTATCCAAAATAGGTTTTAGAGGATATTAAAAGGATTGCTTTTCAAGGTATTAAGTGTGCAAAGTACAAGAATGAAAAAGATACTGAGTTGGCTGACAGAATTCAGCTCAGAGAAATGACCTAGCCATATAATGTAGAGGGAAAGTGTAACAATTACTTCCTCTCTGGGCTTTTAGCAGTTCAAATATCTTTAAACAATACTTAATTTCCTTTTACATATATTCAGCTTAAAATATTTTCTTTGTTTTTCCCCTCTTGCAGTTTCTCTAGACACTTGCAAACTCTTGATATTGGAAGTGAACTACCTTTCACGGTTATTAATTTGATTACCAAAAAGTGTGAGGAACTATGGTTCCTCTTTTCCAATCCTGAATGGCATCTTTCTGCTTCTCTCTCATCCCACTCCAAACCAGTTCCTCATCTTCCCTTCCGTATTTTAGTTAATGTAACTATCCTTCTCCCAGCTAGCCAGACTTGAAACCACAGCCTTGTCTGACCTTATCATTACACTACATGTCATACCTAATGTGCCAACAGAGTTCTTAAATGACCACGTGCTTCTCAGAATTTAACGCAGCCCACATGAATCACCTAAGGATCTTGTACGAATGTAGATTCTGATTCTGGAAGTCCTGGATGGGGTCCGACATTCTGCATTTCTAATAAGCTCCCAGGTTGTGCCCATGTTGCTGGTGCATAAACCATGCAACATAAACCATGCAACATGGGCAGAACCCACACAATATGACTAGCAAGGCATTAACCTTCATTTTCAGGCAAGACTTTGGCTTTATATTGATATAATTCTCTCTTTAAGGAAAATTTCCAGACCAGGCAGGATAAAACTGATCTTTTTTTTTTTTTGAGGCGGAGTTTCGCTCTTGTTACCCAGGCTGGAGTGCAATGGCGCGATCTTGGCTCACCGCAACCTCCGCCTCCTGGGTTCAGGCAATTCTCCTACCTCAGCCTCCTGAGTAGCTGGGATTACAGGCATGCACCACCATGCCCAGCTAATTTTTTGTATTTTTAGTATAGATGGGGTTTCACCATGTTGACCAGGATGGTCTCGATCTCTTGACCTTGTGATCTACCCGCCTCGGCCTCCCAAAGTGCTGGGATACAGGCGTAAATCATCTTGAGCATATTTCCCTTTAAGCTAACTTTTCGAGAGAAATAAAACAAGAAACATCATAAGACACAAACGCCAAATAACTGTTGAGCAAATGGGGCTTCTCCACCAATGATATTCTCTTCTCTGACAGCTGTTTGCATCCCATTCTCTTACACACTGTTGTATGCTCTGTTTTGTCACAATGTATTCCTTTAACCATTTTTTGAGAGTACACTGTGTGAAACACTAAACTACACTCAAGGAACAACAACAAAAAAATGAAATGGTATGATGTCCCACCATCAACAAGCTTATAACCTTACACAGAAAAGAGCCAAGTAAGCAAAGAAATACAGTGAAGTGTAGTATTTCCCTATGCCTAGACTATTATTCTCACTGTTCTGAACTCCCTTCTCATCCCAAATCCTCATTACCACACACACACTTTGTACTATAGCAACATTAAACTGTGTTACTGCTATACTGTAATACTCATAATTGTAATCCCTACAAATGTTGAATTATCAACGATCCAATTTCTATGCATTATCAAATATTATAATAATTGTTTTAATGATAGGTATTATGGTTTTGAAGCTGGATTGTTTTCAGGTTTATAAGGACTGAGAATTCCAGAAGCAAATATGACCCTAAATACATGGTACAAAACATAAAAATTGCTGAGAAAATGTAGTAAATATAACACTATAGTAACAGCCCTGGTCATAAAGAAAATTCAAATGAAGGATGACTAGTGATTGGCTTTCATTCTCTCCATTCCATTCCTGTTCTCAAATGGAGACTCTAGGAGTGGGGCATGGACCGAGGTGAGGGGCGATTCTTGGGTGGGAGGAAACAGCAGCCAGGAAGCTCCATCTTGGGAAGTACAGAGGCAGAATGTAGTCCCGGAGACTTCTAATCCCTCTTGTCCTATTTTTTCCAGGGTAGAACGTTGAAATTGGCATTTGGCACTCAGAAGATTCCAGGAATCTGTTGCTCTTCTAAACACTTCAGGTAACCTTGGGATATAAAAATATACCCATTGATATTTAAGCTACCATTAGTTAGCACTAAATGTAACTATAGTAGGAGTAGGACAACTTGGGGTCATGTGAACAGACCAGAAACTACAGACTGCAACAAAAATGTGCGGATTGCCAGGTGGTTTCTATAACCTTGCAGCGATGAAATTCCATGTCTTACACACTTGGAGTTTCCTCTATTTGATTCTAATCAGCTTCTAACCTCTACTAATGGTGTTTCTCTTTCTACCTCATCAGCCCAGGGCTCATTCATTTTATCTTGTTTCATCTATGCTATAATAGAAAACCCAAGGCCACTCAAACATAACCTTGATCAATACTAATTCCTGATCAAGTCAACCCAATATCCAGCAACAATTAGATCATGTAAATTGTATTTCCTCACTAGTTTATTATAAATTATAATAAAATATAAAGCATAGTGTTTATAATATGCCAGACATTATCCTAACCGTTCTGCATGAATTGACTTTTTGTCCTCATAGCAGCCTCATGAGCCATTTATTACTGTCATTTCTGTATTACAAATGAGGAACTTGATGGACAGAGAGGCTAAGCAACTTGCCCAAGGTCACACAGTAGGTAACTGTCAAAGCTAGGATTAAAACCTAGACATGGCCGGGCGCGGTGGCTCAAGCCTGTAATCCCAGCACTTTGGGAGGCCGAGGCGGGTGGATTATGAGGTCAACAGATCGAGACCATCCTGGTCAACATGGTGAAACACCGTCTCTACTAAAAATACAAAAAATTAGCTGGGCATGGTGGCGCATGCCTATAATCCCAGCTACTCAGGAGGCTGAGGCAGGAGAATTGCCTGAACCCAGGAGGCGGAGGTTGCGGTGAGCCGAGATCACGCCATTGCACTCCAGCCTGGGTAACAAGAGCGAAACTCCATCTCAAAAAAAAAAAAAAAAAAAACCCAGACATTTCAGAGTTCATACTCTTTATCGTATCTGAGCCATGAAGATTCTATGTCACAGGGCATAGAAGGTTATATTTGGATATTAGATATTTTATGGAGCTACTGAAGGCTTTTCAGAAAGGGGTATGATCAGATCAAATGTCTGAAAAAGATCATAATAGTGGCTGGGGATATTTCCATATTTTCTGTCCAATTATTTATCCTTCGGCCTACCCTAATAACTCTTTGTGGTTGAAACCTTGGGGCCTTGAGTCAGAAAAGTCTTGAAAAAAAAAATCCCTGTTAATTATAGTAACAAACACTTTGAGCATTTCTGAGGTTCCATGGTCATGTAAAATGGATTAAGCCTTTTAACCTTCATAATAATCCCTGAGGGAGATACTATTACTCTCCCCCTTTTCAGGTGAAAAAACTGAGATTGGTTATAGAAATATGTCCATCATTATATCAGTAGGTATGGAACAGAAATTAAAAATCCAGTTTGTCTAAATTGCAGAGTAAGTTATTGTTGTGTAATCTACTGTAATAAAGATTGTTAGTTACACTTGTTAGTGGTGAGATATTTTCCATTATATTATATCACATTATGATATATCATATTTTTTGAGACAGGGTCTCACTCTGTCACCAGGCTGGCGTGCAGTGGTACAATTATAGCTTCATGGAAACTATGCCACACATTTAGAAAGTTAAAAAACTCAACTAATAAAAGATATTCTTAATGTTTTATTTCCTCAATAAAAGAATTTCCTTTTGTTCTTCTGAATGAAAACTGTGATAACCTTTTTTCCTAAATGTATACTTCAATCTTTCGCAGATGCGTATTTTGCCAAGTTTGGGAGATGTTCCTTTATTCAAAATATATAAGAATTACCTTTTAGATGTTTATTATCAACCTTTGATGTCTGTTTCCTAGTAAGAACAACCCCCCCAGTTTTCAGTGCCTCCCCAAATAAATTCTGGAATAGTTATGCTTTAGAAATGTTGGGATTTATTCATATAAGAAAGAATCCCTAAAAGTTAATATGTTAAGATCGGAGGAGTGATGGCCTCTTCTTTTGGTTGGTGGGCAGTCTTCCTAACTTCTTCCCAAGTTAGGAGTTCATGTAAACAAACAAAAAAACTATGTTTTATATGAGTTTGTGGTTTCATTTCTACAATTATAAAGATAATTAAATGTAATATCAGAAAACCATATCTACATGGTAAGTTTTCTGTATTAGTTTGCTAGTGTTAATATTAGAAATAGTAGTAGTAGTATTTGTGTTACTGATATTAACCTTGTTATTAATCAGATTGTTGCATGAATGACCAAACTTTTTATAAAGGGAAAGAATTGAAATTCCAAGGAGGTGAATGAGCTGCTCATAATTATGAAAGGAGACACTGGCATAACTAGGTTAAAAATTGATGAACAGAAGCCTGACTACTGCTTTCTATGTATTAAATAATGAAGCTTCTAATAAAAGAACTCTTAGTCATTGGCTGCTCAATGATTAAGAGTTAGTCATTGGCTGCTCATGATATACTCAACAATACCCTTAATTGCACAACAACTTCCATGTTTGCACAGAGCTGTTCATCCAAAGGGCAAGATGTACATCATTTCCTTTAGTTTTAAGTTCCCATCATTCATGGAGTAGATATTTCTGAAGCCTGTGTGCTGTTTTAGGCACTAAGCTAAGTACTAGAACAATAAATGAATAAGTTCACTGTTCCTCAACACAGGAAAGCAGAAACCTTCAATATTGTTTCACAGGATGTTTCTCAGTTTCCATTTTGTCTTATCGCCATCCTCTTAAAAGTAGCTCCAAGTGCTTATGGGCACTGATCCACTTCATTCATTTATTTATTCAGTCATTCGTTCAGTAAACATTTATGGAGCCTCATTATATGCTATGGAGATAAAGTGATACATAGAAACAACATAGTCCTTCCCTTTCGTGTACCTTAAGTATTCTGGTAGAATAGACAGATTAAAAAACAAAGAAACAAAACAATTACAAACTGTGACAGACACTATAAAAGAAACCAGTATGAGAGAGAATAGTGGAGGGATCAACTTCAGAAAGGATGGGTAGTAAAGGCCTTTGGGGAGGTGACATTTATTCTGGAATCTGGAAGCTGATAAGGAACTAGCCATGTGAAGAGTATAAAATCATTTTAATAAAATAGCAGCACATAAAGACCTTGAGACAGGAATGAGCTAGGAGTTTTTCTACACAGAAAAGGATATGATTGAATTTGATTTTTAAGAATAATATAGTTTTGGCTGCTACAACAGTATGGGCTGGAGTAGGGCAAGAATAAAAGTTGGAACACTATTACATAATGAAGAGACAATCTGAACAGCCCAGGTAAGCCATAATGATAGTTAGTTGATGGCAATGGAAATGAAGAGAAACTAGAAGATGAAAGACAGATTTTGGAGGTAGAATCAGTAGGACTTGCTGATGGACTGAAAATGCCAGAAAGGCAAAATTAGCAATCCAGATGAATTTCCAAATTTCTGGTTTGAGAAATTGGGTAATTGTTGTTGTCACTGACTGACATGGAAAATCCTGGATGTTGGGAGGCAGATTTGGGGGAGGGGGACAAAAAAGGAGTTGAATACAAAGAAAGAATACTCCTTAAAAGCATCCCTCATATTAATAATTTAGAAATTGAATCTTACATATAGGGACATGGAAACAACAGGGTCTCTTAAAGAATATTTTGACCTCATTTTACAAGTAAGATACTTGCACAAATCAGCAAAGATGTCACTGGTACTGTGTGACACCATCACCACAGAATATTTCTTGGCTGGCATGGTATTAATTCCAATTACTCATTTGATGCTTAAATCTCCTTGGCATATCCCTGCCAAGGGATCACACAGCCCATGGTAAAATAGCAATAGTTACAACAGGTGGAAGATAATACTAATATTTATTTTTATATGTGTCAGGCACTCTTGGAAGGGCTTAATAATATAAAGAAAGACTACTTATCAAACATTTCTTCTAATACTCCGTAGGAATCTGTTTCAAAGTCTACCCATTCATTAATGTAATATTTGGCACTGCACCCCGACAGCATGGTGCTAGAAGAGTATATTCACGGGTGGACCTGTGGGCTTAGAAAGGTTTTCTTGTTCTCATTCTGGCTCCCTCACACTTAATGTTGCAGGGGGTTAGTTTGTTTGTTTCTCATTGACTCATTGGTCAGCGACAAGGTTGGATGAAATCACCTCTAAATTATTCTCTAGCTCTAAGCTTCTACAGTTCCAAAATTTGTTACCTTCACTTTTAAATAGACAGAGGATGTATATAAGCTATGAGAGAATGAAACTGGTAAAGAACTAAAATGATCCAGCTTTACATGTCCTATGTATGGAATTTTATACTGAAACTTGTAACAATGAATGAAATCTTTAGTCATTTTAAAGAACAGAGTGCCATTCATTTTTGTACGGTCTTTTAGGTTTTTTTGTGTGTGTGTGGCTCAAATCCAGGTTGAATATATTGTGTAGTTAAACAAAATACCTATTTTCAGAAATTCATGTGATAAATACTTCCCTGAGTTCTAAGTAAAGTTTATCTCTGCCAGTAGAAAATATGTATTTTTCATACTAACTGCAAGTGCCGTGCCCTAGTTGAATGTTATCCTTGGAGAACTTCTGATGCCAAAAGGAGAGGATAGAAATGAGGCCAGGACATCACAGAGTGAAGGTAAGAGCAACAAATGCTCTTCCACTTACCAACTTCTCCACCCTGTCTCCTGCTTCAGCAAGAACAGAGGAGACAATGATGAATGATACCCATAAAGATATCCTGGTGTCTGGAGACCTAACATAGGAACCACAGACTAATACCATGATTTATGCCACTAATGAGGAATCCGAGAGAGGACATAGTAACTCCACAGGCCCTTTCTCCCGACATTTGCTGGTGGTGAAGACATACATAATTTATCTTCAAATTCCGTTATCATTGGCCAAGAGCCAGAGTAAAATTGACCATTTTCATTATGGTCAATGGAGTGGAACTCAAGCAGTAATACATGTTTCCCTTTTCACTTTACTGCTAGGGCACTCAAGGCCCAAATCCAGAAAGCAGTTCACCTTAGGTGCCCAGTAGCACTTACGCCTTTAATCTGAATAGTCCTATTTTATTTACGATTATTTTGTAATTGCTACTAATTACCTCTTAATGAGTCTGGTGCATTAATTGATGTTCTAAAAATATATAGAAAAGAATCAAAATTAATGCCTATGTGCTTAATGAATCTAATATCATTATTTCAATTTGGCCAAATTATCTTGGTAATGAAGTGATGAGATGGGTATATGAGACACATATTCACTTACCCTGGGATTACCTTAGAGAAGAACTGTCTTCCTAAGTTAATGCAAGGTCACACAGCATATGGATGATCATGATACAGGTTTGGAGCTGTAATTACAAACATTTCTTGAGATTGTTTTCAGCAGCTTGCTGTAGTAATGAAAAGATCCTGGGCTTAGGAATTGGTCCCACACAGGTTTCATGGCCTAACTTTACCATTGACCAGCATGTGATCTTGTCAGGTCATTTAGCTTTATTGAGCCTTGGTTTTCTCAGTGGTAAAAATGAGACTTATACTTCACTTCTCACAAACTCATGAAGAGAATTAAGCATAATAACTGTGTACAGCTATGTAGCATGGTAGCAGTCTTCAAACACTCAGTAAGAGAGCCTTCTTCTCTTACCTGTTTTCTGCATCTTCCAAATGCAAAAATGAGCATTTGGGGTTATGGAATAGATACTAAAACCTACAGGCAATCCCCTTGTTGCTTTCTGTTGTTTTAACAGCAGAGCTTGCATTTGTTCATTCTGTACATGTAAACATTGCACTAAAGAAATCCATCAGCTATGAGCCCTTTTGTACCTCACAATATTTAAAATTCCTAACTCTTTGGAATGACATAAAGCTATCTCTTGACAGCTGTTGCTTTTGACTCACTCACATAATGTTGCAGACTCTTACTTATCAATCATTTTAGACAAGAAATGGGAAAGCCCTCTGTTTTTCTCTTAAGTCTGTGTGTATAAATGTGGTAAACTAGCACAAGTTTCTTTCAGGGCTTAGACTCAGCCTGAGTATCCAGAATTACACGGCAATATTTCAACATCTTGATATTTAAATTGATAAAAATCCCACATGCACCCACCACCTTCTTTAAAATGAATCTGGAATTATTGTTTAAGTGTAGACACAGTGTTTTAAAAGGCCCATATGCAGGGCTGTATGAGGCACAGTGGGCTTTGGGCTGCTGTGGTTTATCTAGGCCAGTATATGGCTCCAAATAGTTGACAAATTCCACTGTTGCTTCCTTTTTTTTCCTTCCATGAAGTTGAAAATAAACAATTAACCTATTTCCAACACAGTGTTTGGTATTGATTTAATTTAGCATGTGTTATTCATCTGCATGCCTCACGACGGTTGCTTAATTGTCTAAATCTTCCCGTGTAGAGTGCTGCCTATGGAATCTCTTTCCACAGAACACTCTTAGAAGAGTGTGGCTTACTATTTCCATAACATCTGTCTTTTCTACTAAAGAGCAGATTAACAATTATGCTTCTTTTAAAGGTGTGTGTGCGTGCCTGTGTGTGTGCGTGTGTGTGTGTGTGTGTGCGTGCGTTTGTGTGTAGGGAGGGTTGGGCAAGATAAGTTGCTTCTTGTACAATTTTCTTTCTGGCACAATAGTTTGTAGTCTTATCACCAGGTCAGGGATTTTGCCTATACCCATAATGCTGCTGGCAGGATTGCCCTTTTCTTTTGCCTTATTATGCCACAGAATGCCACATTATTTCCATTAAATATGACTGTCTTCAAAAGAGACAACATATGCAGCCCCTCCTCCTTGCTCCCACTCCTCATGTCTTTCTCTCTCTCTGTCTCACACACACACACACCCACATACACATACACACAAATGCATGCACACATGCACACAAAGCTCCTTTCAATTGTGTTAAGCAGTAAAGCAGAAGGATTTTTTAAATTAGTGTTTTGTTTTGGCAATGGTTGCTGATATGTTCGTGTAATACAGTTTTAATCAAATCCCCAAAGCTGAAGACCTTTCAGCATATCTTAGGCTGCACTGTGCAGGGCTTATTCCACTTGAAGTGGCCACCAGGGAGGTACAATTAGCTGTTCCCATGGAGAAGTTTGTTATAGTAATAAATAATAAGTAGCATAGGTAGCGATGGAATCAATTAAAGATATTTTTGACCGTCTAATGGTTTATGGGAATGCTAAATAATTGACAACAAGTTTTTGACTGTTTTCTCTCGGCATGCCTCCTGTAACTAAACACTAACCACACACATAGGACAGTGTCCGAGGTCACTGCTTTTTCTTTTGTAAAGCCATGTTGTCAAGGGTATTCTATGAAAGACAGTTGCAGCCCTTACGTAACGAAGCTGATTTTGAGAGGGTTAAAACTCTGCTGTAAATATTTGCTGCAGGCAGAAATCTAACATATGAAGCAGGAGAACAAATTGTGTTATCAGTTTCAAAAACAATCTGTTTCGCCATTCATTTATTTATTTTTTTAACCAGCGTAAAGCAGAACAATAGGAGTTGAGTAGCTGAGAGGGCTTTGTGTTTTGTCTCTGTTTCCTACTGCTTTGAAGTTAAAATGGAAATTTGGCAAGTGGGACATTGGTAAAGTGCTCTAAATGCTTTTGGCATCTTGACAGGCAAAAAGAAAAAAAAGTAAAAATGGTCAAGCTACCTTGGTTCAAAATTAGCAAGTGTATGTTCATGAATTGCTGTGTAGATAAAAATCTCAGAAGAAAACAGGATGGATGAGTTTGTTGTGTGTATTTGGGGATGAATTGATACACCACACATCACCTAAAGCAGATCAGTGATCCATGAGCTTTGCAAGATTTACATGAAAAGACACAATTGTTCCTTCGAAGTTATTGGATAAGTGACATACAGTCTCAATGCCAATGTGTGGCTATCAATGGGAATTAGTCAGACTAAAATTTTGGCTAAATAAAGTTTCAATCACACTTACCATCATTTGATTAGAAAACATAGTTCTAGTTGATTTTCTGTTTTACAGATGTTTTTATAATTGTGGAAGTCCACTCTGTGGATTTATCTTAATGCAGAATGAGCCTGCTCTATCCTTAGGGTTTTTATGAAGTCAGTATGAGCAATGCAGTATACAAGAGCAACATAAACTGCTTCTATAGGCTGCTCGAGTGCGAAATTTACAAGTGCATGTTCATGATACCTCAGGCCAAATGTATTTAATATAATAGTATCTTGTACTTTAGTAGGGGTGGGTAAACTACAGGACCATGGGCCAAATCTGTCCTACCGCCTGTTTTTGTAAATGAAGTTTTATTGAAACACAATGATGTTCATTCATTTATGTACTGTCCATGAATGCTTATGGGATGATGGCAGAGCTGAACAGTTGCAACAGAGACTGCATGATCCATACGGCTGAAAATACTTACTATATGGTCCTTTAAATAACTAAGTTTGCCAATTCTAGACTTACAGAATTCCTTAGTCTGATCATTTAAAATTTACTTGTTATCTTCATCATATTCCTTTGAGAGGAAGTTTCTCGTTTCATTCCTCTCAGCCCTGTTTTTCTGTTCTGAAGACTGTAATCCAAGGAATTTGAGAATGATCAGAGGATCAAATAGAATACTAAAATGATTCATACTTGTTTCCTAACCATAGCTATTGATCGAGAGCGTCAGTAGTTACTGACAGAGTGACATGACCGAAAGAGAGACACCTCCTGTTGGAAGGATTTGGCTAATTGCCTCAACTCAGTAGGGTATTACAAGTGACAGTATACATTGGAAATTTATCAAAATGGTAAGGAACTCCAGAGCATAAAAGTGGAAATCAAACTAAGAGCAAAACAAAAGATTAAAAAAACAGATTGGCTCTAGAATTCACATTGAGTGAGAAAATGTACAGGAACAAAGCAAAAGGCTCTAAAGGAATTGCTTGAATGTGGAGAAGTGGCTTGGGTTTCTTTCCATTGGATGTCTCCCTAATAATTATCCTGCAGAGGGTGAAGAATTTCTGCATTTTTACGGTAGCTATCTTCCATAGGAATATGTGGGCTAGTTCCTTTCTCCTCTACCACATTTTGGATGAGCTGGAGAGAGCTAGTAGAAAGAGATGAGAACCTAAGACATAGAAGGGTGGTCTTCACTCTGAGCCCAGAAATCTCTCCACTCCCACCTTCATGGTGTGAACAAATGGAAACTACCCATATTTCCATTGAGTGTCTGAGTCTAGGGTCTAGAATGGTATAGATTTTGGAATTTTCTCACTTGTCACTTTTACATCTTTTTCAAGTAGGGAGAAATAGTAAATATGACCTGAGGTTAGGATTTCTCCACTGAAAAAACAAAAGCAATTTATTTGTACTGTTTTTATTATTAAGAGTTACTTGGTAAATAGAGAAAGAAAGAATCAAATGAAGAGAACAGATTGAGTGGCTCAATTCTTACCTTCTCTAGGTGCAAAAAAGCTGAAGGTACCTTTGCCCCGTGTTCCAGCTGCTCTGGACTTACTTTAGTCCTTGAACATTATCATGTCCTTCTTCTCTCTGCCCCAGGGTTCTCAACCCTTTTGGTCCAAATGACTTTACTTTTTTCTTTACTTCTTAGCCTCAATTCCCTCTGTTCTTTCTCCTCTTCTCTTCATTCCCGTATTACAAATAAGGGGAATGAAGGAATGGCAAACCTGAGACCTACGCAAATCATCTGTAAGCATTCTTTATCTTGATTATGACCTCAGAAGGCACTGACCTCTGCTTTGTTTACTGGAAATAGTATGTCTACTTGCTCTACTTCTTCCCTGTCAGGCCTATGCTTTTTCAACCACTTGAAATGCTTGCAAACTGGTAATTAGGTTTTGCGTAAATATTTAAGAGTTTTCTTTTCTTTTCAGAAAGGGCTGTTAAGTACTATTTAGTTGGGTGTTTTGGCACATCCAATCTTTATTTTTTTCAAATGACGTATTGAAAATCAACAACCCACATATGTTTTATATAACACAAGAATTCACTTCTCCAAAGTCATCATCTCTACGCCATGTTCTATAAAATTAATAGAAGATTAAATACAATTGTTAATCAAAATGAGAAAAGCAAAATAGGTGTTCGTTCGCAGTTGTTTTGCCTTTGTTGTTATCTAAAGAACTCACAGATCTGCTTGTCAAGAAATTCTTTTGAGGCCTTTCTATGAACCAATATTTAATCTTTAAAATTACAGCTTCAAGAAAGAAAAATTGCTGTTGGGTATCAAGATACATTTGAAGTTGAAATGATCTTTGACTATGTTGTTTAATATTTCAGAACTGTGCTACCTAGTGGTTCATATCTACAACTCTTCTGCTAATAGGTGAAGATGACCTTTCTGAATGAATGGGATCATAGATTTCTTTTTAGCTCACCTATATTTCCATAGTCTTAAGGTCTTCTTTATGACACACTTGTCAGCAGATATGTCAAGTGTAGAGCCTGAATAAGCATCAAAGTTTGAACAGGCACTTGGCCAAAGAGAGCCCTCTCCTCCTGATTCACTTTGTCATCTATCCCCACACCCTGGTCCATGAGTATCCACTACTCCTGTCCTATACATGCTCCCTCAGCTTTATCTCAGATGTCCCCCTTTCACCCTATCTTACAACAACATGAGCAAAGGAGAACTACCCAAATACATGATTTCATCTTATGCCTTTTCACATCCCTTTCCATTTTTACCCAATCCTTCCTTTCTCTCTGACTTATTCTTTAAAGCTATGCTTACATATTAGCCCTTTTTATAAGCCTACTTCAGTGCCGTACTCAGATGAACTTAATTTCTCTTTCATCTATGCTACTTCACCATTTCTTTCAGATTTCTTTTGTTGCATGGATCACACTGTTCAGCAACTGTGTGTTAGATGTCTGTCTATCCAGAGGTCAAGTGCTGGGACCTCTCTTTATCCCTACTACCTGACTTTGGGGTTGGCACATAGTAGAGATCCCAGATATCTGTAGAACTGAACTGATGAATAGATAAAAGCAAAATTCTATGATTCCTGGGAGATAAAACACAAAGCTTGGACCTTCTAACCAGTGTGAATTAGCCTACCATAGACAATTTAAATTTTCAATATAGTTTGACATTAAGTCTGTAAGAATTCTTTTTGTTAGCACTTAGAAAGTTGACTGTTGGGCTAAGATTATTGGAACTTGTGATTGGGAGATAGGGTGAAGTTTAATTCTTTACATGGCTGAACTTCAATCAGAGTCACCGAAATTTTAGGCCACGTTTATTTATTTTAAAAAAGAGAGATATAATCTAGTATCTGCCAAACCACCAAATACACAAAAGTCCCTCCTTTTAATGAGTCACTTGAATGCAAAATCAACTGTAATTCAAGAAACCAAAAACAATAAAAGAAGTGAGCTTTGTCAGACTGGCCCAACTTGTTCTACCTGTTACAAAGAAAGGTCTGATGAGGTCCAGGAAATGGAATTAGTTTTACCTTAGGTTGCAAGGAGTATTCTGTGTCTCCCCCTACTGGTTGGTGGAATAACTTAATAGAACAACCCCCCAGGAATCTAAATGGCCATGATCTCCTGGCAGCTTTGTACCATCTGATCATTTGCCTCTGTGAACTTTCAATAAGGAAGGTTAATCAGGAGTTCACTTAAGGATATTTTCTCTCATCCTCAGTTTTTAAGTCTGGTTAATTAGGATTTTGCACTTCTTAACAATTCTAACTTCATATCCCACTGAAATAAACTATTAAGAAACCTCACATATTTTAACTCCAGGCTATCACTACAATCTCATTACATCAAAATTGTTTTTAAAAGGTTTTGTTTGAAAATAATTCTAAATGTTACCACAAAGGATACCGTTTCCTCTAGTCCTGGGGTTGTGTGAGCATGCTGTTGAATATGGGAATATTTAAAAAAATAAATAAATAACAGGTCTCACAAATAGAAACACCAGATAAGATAAATCCACAGAAAATTTTGGGAAAAAGGAATTACAGAAAATTTATTTATATTACTCCATTACCTTTACTTGTTAATTATATATCTAACAGATTCAAATTCTAAAATAATTTCAAAAGCTTATTATAATGGCCCGGCGCGGTGGCTCAAGCTTGTAATCCCAGCACTTTGGGAGGCCGAGGCGGGAGGATCACGAGGTCAAGAGATCGAGACCATCCTGACCATGGTGAAACCCCGTCTCTACTAAAAATACAAAAATTAGCCAGGCGTGGTAGCACGTGCCTGTGGTCCCAGCTGCTCGGGAGGCTGAGGTGGAAGAATCGCTGGAACCCAGGTGGAGGTTGCAGTGATTGCGCCACTGCACTCCAGCCTGGCGACATAGTAAGACTCGGTCTCAAAAAAAAAAAAAAAAAGCTTATTTTTGTGAGTATTCATGACGAGAGTTGAGACGAACCAAAGACCTACAAAGAAGATATCGTATAATTTACAAACCAGAAAATGTTCTCATTTAGTGGTAACAGCTACAACATCCCCAAGGCTTGCCATTATCAGCTATGAAGTGTAGGCTATACAACAAATAATAAGACAAAATGAAAAGAAAAAATTAAAAATGGGTAGAAAATTCTCATATCTAAGATCAGATATGAGAACCAACAGTGAAGCACCAAGGAATGAATGCAGTTCTGAGCATGGAAAGCAACACTAGAAAAGAGGAAAGAAAATAAAACATGAAGAGGAGAATGGCTTTTGAAAAGTACAAAGGACATAAAGGAGCATACATTGCAAAGTCTTTGTAGGTCTGGCTACTTTGAAAGACATTTAAGCTAATGGTTAAAATGTATTCATTATATTTTGTTTACTATGTTAGGGAACAATGTTATGCCTTTTGAGGAGAGTTAGATTAGAAATAATATAACCTTTTTAATTTATTCATACCTATTTATTGATTGCCATATTATTTGGGGTACGTTAATTCCTCAAACTATTCTAGAAAGATCAGTAGCTTGAGGAGAGGATTTGTTTCTCATGTGCGCCTCAGTCCAGTGCTCATCACGCTGGGACCATACTCCTAAAGTAAGGTGCTACCATCCTTAAAAAATGGCCTTCAGGTTTGCTGAGCAGAAGGAGAGAGAGCATCATGAAAGGTTTTTATGGACCAAAGTTGGAGGTAGCTTATTTATGAGTTTTCTACACACATTCCATTGACCTGAAATCAGTTACAACTCCACTCTGACTACCAGAGGGTTCTGGAAAATGTTGATTTCCTTCTTGCTCAAGAAAAGGAACATGAATATTGATTAGCAAAAACATTCTCTGTGTAAGGGTCTGGAGATTCATTGGCAGGTGGGTGGGAATAGACAATTCCACATTAAAGGACAGAAAATAGACCACAAATGAAGTGGAGAAGTTAAATGCACAGTATACTAAATGGTGATATGTGAAAACTAAAGCACCCAGGTAAGGAGGATAGATAGCATGGCAGGAGTCAGGTACTACTGTGTTACTCCCTTGCCAAAAGGAAGTAAGACAGTTAGTCAATAAGTAGAGGAAGGACATTTCAAACAGGTAACACTGTTAAGTGCAAGATCCCTGACTCGAGGATGGCTGGCATATTTGAGAAACAGCAAAAAGGTGAATGTGTCTGGGTGGAATGAGCCACTGCTGCTGGGCGCATTAGCAGAAGATGAGAACACTGAGATAATAGGGAAGGCAGATTTTATGGTGTTTGTAGACCATTGTGAGCACTTCCAGCTTTTTTTTAAGTGAGACTAGAAGCACTGAAGGGTTTTGAGAAGAGGATTGACATGCACAGATATGCTTTCTATGGTATCACCCTCGTTGCTGAACTGGGAGTAGAATGTAAAGGACAAATGTAGACATAGGCAGACGAATTAGGAGACCATTACAATCATCACAGTGAGAGACAACTGAATCAGCCTGGTAACAGTAGAAGTGATAAGAAGTGATTGGATTGTAGATATATTCTGAAAGTAGGGTCAACAAGATTTGCTGATTGAGTGTATATATGGTACAGAGAAGAAGAATCATGTATAACTCCAAGATTTTGCACCTTAGCAAACAGATAGATAGAACAGTGTGAGAGGAGCAGGTTTTTTTAAGGGAAAATAATGATCTTGCTAGGAGGCAAGCTTTTGACATGTCAAAGTTGAGAAGGTTATTCATTTTTCCAGCAGAAATGCTGAGATGACCCTGAAAATAGTGTCTCTGAATTTCAGTGGAGGGGTCTGGCTGGAGATAGAAATTTGTTAGTTATCAGATTGTAGTCAGATGAGATCATGAAGGCAATGAGAGAAGAGCTCCCCAGAGCTGAACTTAGAGGCACTGAACATTCCAAAGTTTGAAGGAAGATCCACCAAAGGACAGGAAAATTTTGTGGCTAGTGAGGTAGAATGAAAACCAGTTGGAAGCAAAGGAAAGAAAATGCTTCAGGCAGAAGAGAGAGATCAAATGTAACAACATGCTGCTGATATATCAAGTGAGGGGTAAGAAATGAGATTAGCCCGTTGGATTTAGAACGTGAAGGTCATTTGTATTCTTGACAAGAGCTTTGTTTCTATCAGGTGGTGAGAATGAACTTGGCTAGAGTAGGTTCCAAGAGAATGTGAGATGAATTGGGATAAGTGTAGATAACACTTGTTTTGCTGGAAAAAGAAGGGAAGAAACGAGGTACTGGCTGGATTAGAAAGTGGATTTGACGATTTCTATCTATCATCTATCTGAAGACAGGAACATAGGACACACAGCAAAATTTAAACTTCAGATAAACATATATACGAGAAAGGTTCTGGAGACGAGATGTTATAGGAGAAAGCTGACACATTTCTAGAACAATTTTCTTGAGTTGACAAAGGCAGATGGGATCAACTGCACAAAGAAAGGGGGGCTTTTCCTGGCAAAGAGAACATCATATCAGTAACAGGGAAGAAGGCAGTGATTTGACCTAGATAGAGGAAGGTGGTGGACGTGGGAGTGGGTGTGGGAACTTGTGGAACTTCTCATCGCATTGCCTCTATTTTCTTGACAAAATGAAAGGAAGAACAAAGGAGGAACCGTTAGATATTTGAAGAGAGAAAAGGTATAAAATGGTGACCTAGGAAAACAGGACGGTGACTGGACTGGGAAAATATAGTGTGATTGGCCACATGAAGGGCTCTCTTGTGGAGAGTGAATGGGAATTGAAAGTGAGGAGAGTCAGCAGTCCTGTGTTTATTTCCAGCTTCATTAGATTCACAGGTGCAGGTGAGGAACAGAGGAGAGTTGGATTTGACCAGAGGTGCATTTTTCAAGTGAGTAGGCCAAAGAGAGAGCAGAGAAGATGAGGGCATCTGCAAAGAAATGATGTGAATGATTGGCTTCACAACTTCAGCAGAATAAACAGTAGAGTGAGGATGTAGGGTTAAGAGGCAGTTTCAAACATGGGGCCAATGCAGTGTACATGCCACTGCTGAGTTGGAGTACGAGTGGTTATCAACAGGGCAGACTGAAGGTGGTGAACAGAGAGAGGTGAATTTAGAAGATATTACAGTTTTTGATAACAACAGGGTCTAAGGCCTGACTGCAAGAAGAGATGACTGAAATACTGTAGAGAAGAGTGCAAGAAAGTTAGAAAGCAAGGATTTGAAATTATCATTTTCATGGACATTGAAATCACTAAGAATTATAATAGGGATCATTTTGTGGAAAACGACACTATCAGGAACTAACATCTTCAAAGAACCAGAGGGGGATGGTCCTTCCCCAATAGATGCATAGGGAAAGAAGGACAATCAGTAACATAATCTGAGCACAGTGGATTCACGACTGGATAGTGTCAGGAAGTAGGAGGCAACGAGGATTAAAGGGGACACCTGCATCATAGCCAGCCTGGTGGTAATGCAGAGGGTGGGAAAGAAAAGCACGCAGTGGGAATCCTGTTCTTGGAAGACAGCCTGGTTTCAGTTTGAAAAACAAAAGCGGTGAGAAGATAGGTGAGGATGTTGGAGGTTTCGATGATGTCCAACCGTGAGTTTCAAACAGCCCTGTGAAAAGGATCCAGGTGATCAAGAGAAGCCAGGGTTGTGTTCCCACAGAACTGTGTGCAGATTAGAGTAGGGGACATAGGACGCAGAGTGAAATTTAAACTTCAGGTAAACAGTGGGTACTTCTTTGCATTTATACCCACACCTAGCTCCCCACCCCCCCATCCCAACCCTTTATATCCACTTGTCTTTTCTTCATCTCTATGGTTTTGTCATTCTTGAGAATGTTATATAAATGGAATCATATAATATGTAACCATCTATGATTGGCATTCTTTACCAAACATAATGCCTTGAAGTCCATCCCAGGTGTAGCACAGATTCATCATCCATTCCTTTTCATTGCTGAAGTATATTCCATTGTATAAAAAGCCAGAGTTTGCCCAACCATTTGCTCATCTAAGGACATACGTGTTGTTTTCAGTGTTTTGTTATTATTAATAAAAGCAGCCATAAATACTTCATGTACAGGATAGCTACTGTCTTTCTAAAGTTATTTTTGTTTTAAGCTTCTTTGAAATCAAAGGTTTTGTGTTTTGTTGTGTTCTTTGGTCTAACTCAAAATAAATAAATCTTAATTGTGATTGTAAAACAAAAGCCCATCCACAGGAACAGCATTAGGACATGGCCTGTAGAATGAAACAAGCACACAGAACAATATGGGTGACTCTTGCAAACGGTGCTGCGTGGCGAAAGCCAGTTATAAGTTTGATTCTATTTATGTAAAACATATATGGCAAAATTAATTGATGCCACTGGAAATCTAGATAGTGGTTATCCTTGAGAAGCAGTCATGACGGCTTCTCAGATTTTGGTAATGTTCTGTTACTTTGGTAATGTTCAGTTGACAGATTCATTGGTCTGTTACGTTGGTAAAATGCATAGATCTGTGTATGTATGAGAGGTGCACTTTTCTGAATATATACATATACACATTCAGGGTTTAAAAAATGAACTTTATCATATGATTCAAGAGCATCTCTAATGTGTTCTTCTGTTTGCTGCCCACAGTAGGCTGGGATTCACAGTTTCATTTAAATTTCAATCATCAGTAACATTTTATTTTGTAATGCTCTCAGAGAAAAGGGGAGAGAAGTGTTTCAAGCCTGGTGGCTTGAACAGACTCTCACTAATTTACTTATAGTGGTAGCATTGATTTCATCTGTACTTCTTTTTTCTTTCTTTCCTGTAGTCAATCTCACTGTCAAAATCCAACCTGAGAACAATGGAATGGGTAAGTAGAATATTTATTTATTAAAAGGGCAACATCTCAGAAATGAAATTATAATTTAGTTGGGATAAATTGTCTTATAACTTCATTTTTTTACATTAAAGCTATAATTGAGGGGTATTACATGCTGTTTATCACTGCAATGAAAATGTAGTCAGAATGAACTTCTCGAGGCTGTTAAACTGCCTCTTATTAGCATTGAAACTATACTCACAGCCCATTATCCTGGGCTATATTTTTTTGGTATAAGGGAATTGCTATCAAAGTGTACTTAATCTGAAAGGAATTGGATTATAATGGGAGTCTTTGTGAAAGAGGAGTTAAAGTTATTTGGTATTGTCTTAAGGTAACAATATACTATTGGAATATTAAAAGAGTATGGCAGTGGCACTGGAAAGGCACACTAGTTATCATCATTTGATGTCAAATGATTCTCTGCATTTTTACTCCTAATCAATCTGGGTAACAAAAGATAGAAAATGTTTATAAATTCATTTGATCATGCTGGTTTTTCAAAGAGTGTTGTAGAGTTTTTATCATGTTCTGTTATCCATCCACAGTTAGCACTTGGCATTTTTTCACAAGGAGTATTCGAATCTAAGAGTAATGATGTCTGTATTTGAAACATAGTAGGTATTTCCTAAATGTCAATTAAATTAAATCACATTGCCAATAGGCCTGAGTAAAGGGAACAGAATATTTCTTCTAGTGGATTATTTCAAAGGCAGCAAAATAACAAATGTGGGATGATAATTCTAATTTTTATATATGATATGCCAGTCTAATTGCTGCCAGGCATGCTTGTCATAAAGAAAAAATTACAAAATTAAACACTGTCATACAATCTAGGACAGAGGTTGGCAACTTTCTCTATAAGAAGCCGAATAATAAATATTTTTAACTTTGCAGACCATACAGTCTTTGTCACAACTCTGCCATTGTTGCATGAAAGCATCCCTAGATGGTACACAAATGCATGGATGTAGCCATGCGCCAGTATAACTACAAAAAAGCAGACAGCTGGCTGGATTTAGCCCATGGGCCATAGTTTACAGAACCCAATCTAGGTGATTGCCTGGTAACTCTCTGATTGTAAACAGAAAAGCAAATTTGTGCACTGAAATCTCATGGCTATATTTGGTTGTAAGTTGGCCATCCGGATTCAAAGTATGACTTTAATTGTTATAGTGATAATTATCAGACTATGGTATTAAAATATAAGATAATTATAATAATTATACAAATAATTGTTATCATTAAAAATAAGTGGCATTTTATTCTTTTCTCTTTTGAGACATTGAAATACAGTATGTCCTACTCTTAAGTGGAAACGTACAAAGCAAGTCAGTATAATTTCTAAACAAAGAAGAAATTCAGAAGTCCATCTTTTAACTTGTATCCTCTCCTTCCTTGATATAACATGCAATCCTTCTGTGTGTGTGAAGCACTGATTGATTTCAGTGCTGTGAGTGTTCGAGCCACACATTTCAACTCTCCATTGCTTTCCCAGCATCTTTAAATAAAACAGCTGAGAGTGGGTTGGACTCTCTCCTGATTTATGAGCAATTTGTTGTGATACTGAAATGGCAGTCATGACAGAATCCTGCCTATGCTGTAAAGCATTGAAAGATACAGAAATGACTAGGGAGGACATCTTTCACCAGGAGGAGACACTTGAGGTATCTTTGCTGACCCCTGGGCTAGAGTTTAACATTTACTCAGAAATAAGCCATGAGGAGGTGTGCTTGGTGGCTCATTCCTGTAATCCCAGTGTTTTGGGAGGCCAAGGCAGGAGGACTGCTTGAGGCCAAAAGTTTGAGATCAGCCTGGAAAACAGTGACAGCCTGTCTCTACCAAAAAAAAAAAAAAAAAAAGAAAGCCCTAGAAATTTACTCACGTCACCAGTTTGAAAAGGGCACAAATCACCTCTTGTTTAATAACTTGACCTAAGTGCCAGTTTTCTCATTGGCAGAACTGAGATAATATCCACTGCCCTCCCACCACCACTTTTCAGGGCTGACATGAGCGTTAAATGAGATGGAATACAAAAAGGTGCTCGGTACCCTCAACCAACAGCCATTTTATTAATCATGTGCTCTCTCAGTTGTAATTGCTTCTTTTGTTTATGACTAGCACTGGGTGACTTGCAGGCACTGATAAACAATCACTGACTTATTTTCCTACCTCCCAATTTGTATTCCTCTTAGAAATCTGACAGACTGACACCAGAATGCCAAACCTGAGCTGAAGTGCAGTGACATCTTCATATCCTCTAGCTGCACAAACAATCTAGGGCAGCAGTTGCAGCGCATTTCCCAATACTTATATTTCAAGTATTTTTTTGACATTTAACACCATTAGAACATACAGCAGAATCCAAGTACAGTTTCTTTGAGGTAAAAATGTGAGTGTTTTTTCATATCTCAGTGTGTTGAATAACCTTTAGATGCAAAGTTAGCACAGCAAACATTGACACGATGCAGGCAGCTCAGTGCAGAGTGCCTAAAAATAAATATAAGAAGTTCATATGCTACCAAAAGGAAAAGAGTTAAGAATTTAAATGGAAAAACAGCTTTGAGTCTTATGATTCATGAGATCTCACTATTGTCTTTGATTCCATGGATGCAATTGGTTGGAAGACACTAAATATAGTTGCACCTATTATATATACAGAGCTTAGATAAACCTATCGTTTTACTTTTTGGTCTATTGTCTTAAGTTTTCTGGCAGCTATGAAATGTGATTACTTCAACTGGGGTCTCAATTCATGTGAGTCTGCAAGACCATGTGTTTTTGGAGTTCTAGATTTGAGTCCTAAATTTATCATTTTAGGTCAACTTGTATGACTTTTCAGCTCCTTGGTTTTCCTCTTCATATGACCATTAGGACATCCTTTAAGGATATTTTAATTAACTAATATTCCTGCAAGCTGACACTCCTCTTTCTCTTCACCCTCACCTTCTAGTGGGCATGGTTTTTGGATGAGGTACTTGAGGCTGCATTCTCTCATTCTTGAAGATTAGGTCTTTTTCTGGATACTTCCTGGTCCTTCAAGTACCATTGTTTTCTGGCAAGCATCTATTCCCTTTCTATAATGGCAATAACATTTCTAAGGTTTTCAGAAAACCTAGCCCCCTTCTTTTCAGCCTTGTAGTTTAATGAGGTTGACCTTAATTCCAGTTTAACTGGTAAATTCAGATTCGTTTAAGCCAAGTAGTATATACTGTATTCTTGATCACAGTGATTGATACAAGACACTAAAATGCCCCAGTATCACTTTCACTTGGGGAGTTTGAGCCACATGTTCTTTCTTTGAGCCATCAGAGTACATGTGAGAACTTTGGCTTGAATGCTCAGATAAAGACTTCCTCTTACCTGCTGAATAGAAAGGCAGATACAAAAATCCTTGAGAGCTTCTGGAAGTCATTTTCAGAGTTACGTCTAAATGTAACTAGGTTCTCCATGGCACTTTAGAGCCATAGGTTCAAGCTTTCCTTGAAGCCAATGTTACCTGGGTAATGTAGTTACGTGAGTCAATAAATCCATTTTAGTGCTTAAGGCCTGTGAGTTGTATTTTTGTCCCTTGCCAAAAGTACAAACTGAAGTACACAGGCCCTCCAGATATACCTATACACATCTGAATCTGAGGGAGAACATGAAATAAACTTAAATAAAACCCTAGTTGCATATGAAAGCTTAGTATAATATTATAAACTGAACTGATATTGTTACTCCTCTATCCTTTCATTACCCCCAACTTCCTAGGTATTTTTCCTTCTTTCTTTTAAATTCTAATGCTTTTTATACTACCCATGAAGAGTGCTGTTCAATCCCATTGGCTAACCTATTTTTGATAAGAATATTCCTTATTTAGTGCCTACTTTGCTAGATACAGTACTGATTGATTTCTATTGATACTTCATCTCTAAGAAGTTTGTTCAATAAGATTTGTTATTCCCATTTTAAGATGAGAAACCTGAGGTTTAGGAGGACTGACTTGCACAAGATTACACACTAGTAAGTGGTGCAAATAGGATTTGAGTCTAGGCATTCTGACAGTCTGTGCTCTGTCACTATGTTGAGCTGAGGCAGAGTTTATGGATGTATCCTTAGGACATCAGATAAGTTGACATGGCCCTCCAGCCTTCCATGTTTATTCAATTCAACAAATATTTATTGAATGTTTAATAGGGACCAAATACTTTCCTGGGTGATGAGTATATAAATTGTAAACAAGCCAAGCACCGACTCTGCTATCCTGGAGCTTACAGTCTAGTGGGGTTCCCATGCCAGATAGACCGTATGTGTTAAGAGCCGCCATAGGTAACACTGCTAAGCAAGCACACGGCAGTATCACCCAACCCATCTAAGGGTATTAGGGGAAGCTTCCAGGGTCCTGTGCAGCCTTCACCATGATTCAATAGGAACTGGCCAGGTGACAGATGCTTAAGCAGGGAGAGTGACAAGTATTTCAGAGAGAGAAAATAATGTGAATAAAATCTGGAAAGAGCATGGTGGGCTCAGAGAACCAAAAGAGTTTTGAATCTTGTAGTAGAAGCTGCCCATAAAGAGAGACTGGTGAGTAATCAGAAGCTAAGCTACAGAATTCAGTCTTCATCTTAGGTATGATAATGGGGTTGGGTGCGGTGGCTCTCGCCTGTAATCCCAACACTTTGGGAGGCTGAGCCAGGTGGATCACCTGAGGTCAGGAGTTAGAGAGCAGCCTGGCCAACGTGATGAAACCCCATCTCCACAAAAATACAAAAATTAGCTGGGTATGGTGGCACGCACCTGTAGTCCCAGCTGTTCAGGAGGTTGAGGCAGGAGAATTGCTTAATTGCTTGAATCCCGGAGGCAGAGGTTGCAGCGAGCTGAGATTGTGCCACCGCACTCCTGCCTGGGCGACAGAGGGAGACTATGTCTAAATAAGAAAAAAATAGAATAAAAAATGAACGATAATGGGAATTAAATCTTTAGGTACGTGTCTTGAAATATTGTTTAGGAAAATCACTTTAGTTGTTTGGGAAACAGATCAGAGAACATGGGGACTGGGAGACTATATGGGAGGCTATGCAATAACATGGACGAAAGGTGCAGTGGTCTCAGTTGGGGTTGGGGATGAGGGAGAAAGAAAAAGATGGAGGGAGAGAGGTGAGGAGGTTGAATATGAGACCACTTTAGAAAATATAAAGTGGTCTGACTTGGTGACATTTGAGAAAGAAGCAACATTGGAAATGACTCTGGATTATGTCTAGGATAACTGGGCAGTTAGTAACCACATTCACTGAAGTGAGGAATTCAAGAGAAGAAGCAGAGCTCAAAGTGAAGGGGAATTAAATCATTCCCCTCACCAAGTCAGTGGTTTCTGAACTTTTTTTTAACAGAGACCTCCCGATTTAATGCTTTTTTTCTGCTCCTTTTCCCTGTGCTGCACACAGTACTGCTACACTTGGTTAAAAATATTGTCTGACTTTCTCAGAAAACAAAAATTTGGAAAGCTGCTACCATCCAATACATAAAAAAGCCACTGCAGTAAGCAGAGTATAGGTAGGTACTTTAGACCAGAAGCCCAGCACCCTGATTAGGTGATACAAATTTATATGAGACAGATTTAAAACAACAACAGCAAAAAAAACAACTTGATGGTGCTTGAAGGTTTAAGCGAATATTGGGAGGAAACAATGGATTTCATGTGGGTGTTCCAGTAGCAGTGCAATAAGAAAAAAAGTTATAAGTCAACTGACTATGCCAGTCATTTTCTTGGACTTTTAAGCAAATTATCAACATACTTTAATAAGGAGCCTACACAGGAGAAATCCTCTGATGAACCCAAATAATGGGAGAAAAACATAGACATTCTGAAATCAATTTCAGAGATAGCCTACAAAAAATTAAGCTCCCCAAAGTATAATACACTCAATGCTTCCAACGTCACCACGGATCTGCCACCTTTATATCCTCCTTGATTGTCTCAATTCTTAGATTAGGAAAACATAAGCATCTGGCTATAGCAAATGCAGCCAGTGGTCTCCAAAACACAGCCTTTGGGAAAACAAACAAACAGACAAACAAGAAATAAGAGGCATAGGCTACTAAATCTATGACAGAATTACTGATCAGTGATGCTTCCTAAACTCTGGGATTGTTGCAGATATTTCCTTCCTTGATTCCCTGATCTGTTTTCAACTCTTTCTCTACAGCTTTCTCTGCAGCTTGTCATATTATATATCCAGAGACTATGATAGCTATGGGAAATTAGGATGGCCCACTGTCTCAGTCATTCAGGCTGCTATAACAAAATACCTTACACTGGGTAGTTTATAAACTGCATAAATTTATTGCTCAAAGTTCTGAAGTCTAGGAATCCAAGAAATAGGCCTCAGCAAATTGTGTCTGGGTAAGGGTTTGCTGTCTGCTTCAGAGACGGTGCCTTTAAGCTCTGTCCTCACATGGCTGAAGGGCTGGGGGTGGGGGGAAAAACTCTCTCAGGCCTCTTTTTTGAGGGCAGTAATCCTATTCATGACAGTGGAGCCCCATGACCTAATCACATCCTAAAGTCCTTCTTGATACCATCACCTTGGTGGTTAGGTTTCAACATATAAATTTTGGAGGGATAAAAACATTCAGGACATAGCATCCACTTTTCAATGAGCCCAGTGAAAACCTCAGAATCCTCAGAAAAATATTCCAGGTGGGCTCTGACAATTGGACAATTGGTAGAAATTGGCCAATGCAGTGTATTGAGTCATTGGTGCCAAGTGCTTACACACACACACACACACACACACATCTTTTGCAAAGTAATTTTGCATTTCCTCCCACCTCCCCTTTTGACTTTAGGATTGACCATGTAATTTATTTGGCCAGTAAAATGTTATTAACCTGATACAAAGAGAGGCCTGAAAGATATTTTTGTGATTATACTTCTGTCTTATTTTGTTGCCCAAAACAAATCACAAGGGTCAAGTGGAAAGAGACTAGAAAATTACATAGAAAAGAATATAGATATTGGGAGAGGGTAAATAATTGGGGTGAATAATCAAATCTACTATAAACCTAATCCCTGCTTTGTTTTGCTGCTAAGAATTAAATAGTGGACTGAGATAGAGTATAATAGAAAGTGTTGGTATTTGGGGTGGGAGCATGTTGCTTTCAATAACATGGTCAAGGAGGGTTCCTCTGAGGGGTCAGATCTGAAAGTTGGAAAGACACCACACTTGCTACAGGATTGGAGGGGTGTTTCAGGCACAGGGGCCTCTGCTAGCCCACACAGAATCTCTGTATGAATTGCAAAGACTCCCTTTCCAAAGAGATGGATTTCATGAGAGCTACTTGGCTTGGCAAGCAAAGCTAGAGCTATATTTTCATCCCCCTTGGTTGAGCTGTCCTGGATAAGGTCACAGACAGGAAGTCTCTTGATTGTTGTGAGAACTATCAGAGGGCCATCATGGCTTGCAATCATAATCAACTAGGAGTGATTATTTATATCACAGAATCATCCATTATATCATAAAGATTAATCCTAAGGGCACGTAAAGATTAATTCTAAGGGCACTATGAACATCTAAGTTTGTCAGATTAAGTATGTGTCACAGCCTGAGTAGGGGGCATCTACATTTAAAATGTTAAGAATCACTGCCCAATAATCAATCAGAAGTAAAATCAAATAGTCTTTGAATTAAAATTGTACATTCATGAGAAAATACAATTTTTAAAGGTTTATATGTGTTGCTTTAAAACTGTGTCTGTGAGGTAAGATGAATCACAACCCAAGACGGAAAAATATTTTTGTGAATAAGGCACTCGAAAGCAAAATGAAGTGGGAAGGAAAGAAATTTCTAATAGGGTTCTTAAGATGATGCAAGCCATCTCTGAATTCATCCTACAGTTGTAAAATGGAATGAAGGTAAGTTCGTGAGGTTGGGTCACAGCTCATTCATTCTGTGAAATGTCCAGAATCATCATTGTCCCAAAGCACTGAGTAGAACTTGCTGGTTCTCCCTTCTATTTTAGAAATTTTTGTCATTGTGTCATACTGTAATCAGAAGAGAAGGATTAAAGGAAAGGCTAAAATTTTATGATCTTTGCTGGAAGAGCCCCAAGTCTTGGTTCATGAGTTCATGGGGGATTCTGAGATTGTGTTCATGGCTCCTGTTTCATTAAAGAGACAGAGAGGAGGGAAAGCAAGAGAACAAACATTAACAGAGAAGAGTTGAAGTTGAGCATTCTGCAGTGACTAAGCAAGCAGCTGGTGTGTGGCTGGACAGCTTGAATTCTCTGCGGGTAGATTGGATATTTGGATGGAAGGGCATGAGTTGCTTGGCTTGGGCTTTCATTGTGAGCAGCAGGTGTTATAATGGGCAGCCTGGATACTTTTTTTTGAGAGGCTGGAGAGGGAACCAGACTTTTGCCATTGTGACTTTTGTAGCAAAACATTTTTTATTGTTGTTTCTAGTACATCCATTTTGAATTTCATCTGATGGGGTTGGACAGAATTAAACCATTTAACAAAATTGGGCAGAATTGGGTATTTTAGGAGGGTCACGTTTGCATATTTGAACACTTGGACTCCATTTCATCTTATAGCCAGAGGCTTTAAAACAAGCAGGATTCTTTTCAAAGTGCTGTCACATAAAAATGTCTTCATGGCTTTTGCTTTAAGAGAGGGAGAACATATGTTTACCTGTATTGTTATCACTACTATTGGCAGATTTTTCAGTAGAAACTATTGCTATTGCTACTGAGGGCAGCTATTACTTCATTTTATTTACCTGTTTTCTTGCAATTCACACACACTAACACTAGCTCCACATTGTATAAAACAAAATATCTAATAGTTTCAAGGTGAAATGCCAAAAAAATAAAAGGAAAGATGGAAGCCTGTTCTACCACTCCTCTTTCTCCCAGGAGGCTAGCTGTCCACATGGTGACCTCTGCTGAGAAACACATTAAGTACTTCAAAGTCCAGCTGGCTTTCTGTGGGATGCACAAGAAGGTTCTTGCACATCTCACTCTTGTTGTCTGTAAATGACTGTTTTACTGCACTGACATTTTTTCCTCTCAGAATCAGGTAGAAGGGGTTTTCCTATTCTGCCTGCACCCTTTTGAAAAGAATCCCTTTGCAATTATTGATGCAGTTGCCCATCTACAGTATGAGCCAGGCAAACCAGCAGAGCATTGCTTGAGCACCAAGACTGAATGTCTCACTGGTTGGGTAATGGTGACAATCTGGGAACAGGCAGTGACTTACATTGATCAGGATCTCTCCTGCCCAAACGGATGGCTGGGAAGCAGGCCCCTTGGCCCACAGAGAGGACAGCATGTTCTGTCTCTGGCTGGCTGCAGGGTGGGAAGCATTGCTCATCTGAGCAATGTGAGCCCGTTAATCTCGGAATTATCTAAGAAAAGGCAATTGCCTGGCACTTCCTCAGCACACAAGGCAGGAGCTGCTATCACTACTGCCATCAACAAGGTCTAATCGGACAGAGGCTTCAGAACAGCTGAATAATGTACACACAGCTATCTGCTGGTCCCAGAGATGCCCACTCTCTGAGTTCCAGATGAAAATGGAAATGCACAGAAATGCGTGAAGGCTTTTGGGCTGATTAAAGACTCTATGCAAGTTATTCTTCAACTTCAGAGAGATTGTTAAAAACACATATTCTCGGGCCCTTCTATAAGAATTTTGAATTAGTACTGTGGATCAGGGTCTGTGCCTTTGATTTTCTAACAGACTTCGGGGACGCTGATGCTGCAGGCCCAGGGACCACATGTTGAGTTGCATAGCTCTATATGCTTAGAGGCTGAAGGCTTGGTTTTCTGGGAAATTTCTGCTCTGCATCTAATGGTTTGGAAGCTCTGGCATTTCTGACTACTGGTCTTTGTGTTCTGATTGACCTACAGCTTCACAAATGGCCAAATATTATTAGATTCAAAGTCAAATAAATTTGATAAAAACACATCCATTAGGCACCTCTATTGTTCTTTCATGACAAGACTTGTCCAGCCTAGCAAGAGGAACCATTATTAGAGGAAGAGGAAGGGGAAGAGAGAGAGAGGAAGGGTAAAAGTATGTAGCTATATATGTATTTCGTTGTTGTTTTATACCAACGAAGTGGAGTTTTAAAAAGTTCTCTCTCAGCTTCTTGGAGAAGGATGTTGGTTTAAACAAAAGTAATGAGAGAACCCTATCCAGATCCCTGAGGTGCTAAAGAGAACCCACTTTGCTACACACTACAATTGTTGGTGATTTTGAGATGATCCCTTTATATTGAAAATAGAGGTGTGTGCATTGATTCCTGCTGAGACCAGGCTGCTGGAACATTTGACTGACTCAATAATAATTATCCCTGTAGTGTTCTCAGGTAACTATTGTGGAACTGCTGGCTTCACATTCAGTTCCCTCTCTCCCAATTAGTTTTACTCTCAACACTATTTAACTGATTTTTAAAGAAATACATTTGTAACCAAAATAAAATATTAATGATCAGTATTATATATGTAATGACTGTATAATCTAGGTAAATAATTATCTGTAGTCAAGTAGGGTTTCCAAAAGTATATAATGAAATTGTTAGATAAGTAAATAAGTTTGATTGTGTTTCCAAGCTATGCAAGCAGAGAAGAAAATGTATCAGATTCTTATCTTGTCTGAATATGCATCACTTAACACATTTCTTTGTCTGCCTCAATTGTATGTGTGTGCTTTCAAATCTCACAACAAATCAAAAGAAGCTTGAGTTGATCAAATATTATTGTATTAGTCAGAATAGCTTCAGTCATTTTGCAGTGATAAATGGCCATCACATCTCTGTGACTCACATTGTATGCCCAACACCAGTCAGCTCTGCTTGTTATAGTCATGCAGGGACCATGTTAATGGACCATCTATTTTGATGCATGCTGTTTGTCCTGGTTGGAAAAGTAAGGAAAGGGCACGGTGTAGGATCTCGCACTAGCAATTAAATGATTGAGCCCAAATGTGATACATGTCACTTCTGACCACAATCGACAAGCCCCCTGACTGTCAAGGAAGTAGTCATAACCTTGTCTGTCTTCAAAGAAATAGTGAAACACAACCTCTCATGAGGGAAACTAGATATTGGTGAACCGTAGGAGGGTCTGCCTTAGGTAGAGTCTGCACAACAGTTTGAATATGGAAGGAAAGAACATGGGAATTTTTTTTTTTGTCTGCAAACTACAAATGCATGTCAATTTGTGGCATGAATCCAGGCTTGACTAGAGCCTCCTCAGAGAAGGTCTTTTTCCCTTTGAAAAATGGTGTAATTAACATTTATATCAATCACTTTAAGATAAAAGATTTAGACCACCAGGTTAAACTTCCTGTGCTATTAGTCTGTAAGATGTAGCCGCAAGTGCATGGCCTGGGAATGAGACCAGGATTCTCGCCTTGGATCTACTGCTCTGTAACTTTAGACAAATTGCCTTACCATCTCTGTAGATGAAGTGCCCGGACAGAATGATCTGTTAGCTTCCTTTCAGTTCCAAGATTCTGCGATTCTATGAATTATAATCTTCACTTAGATTTATATAATATTGACCAGAATGTGGTGGTCTGGAAAAAAGATACTAGAAAGTATTAATAATAGTGCTGGCCTTATAATGGAGCATACATAAGTCATGTAATGAGTTCCCTTTAATATCATACATATCTCCCTTTGGTGCCAGAGTTGAGTTATCATTCTCAAACCATCTAAAATGCCAAGATTACAGTCTGGTTGGAAGTCTCTTCTGCCTGCTGGGAGGGAGCAGAGCAGTAATGATTAATTATAAAGGACAGGGACTCTGGCTTTTCACCTGCCTGGTCTCTGTAGCTTTCAGGGTCCCGTCTATTTGGATCAATGGTTTGCTAATTACAAACTGTCTTTGGAAGGCTCCACCATACTCTCTGGTGATTCATGTTTTTGCATTGATTTTCACATAAGCTAAGATTCAGTTGCACCATTTAAGCACTTGGAAATTGGTCATCAATGAACTATTTTGGACTTAATAGATTTGATAACACTCAAAGACTCTTTATGTTTTGATTTTTGGATTATACTGCCTAATATATGTCCTATTTATCTGCTTTTTAGAAGGACTCTAGTAAAGGATAGGCTCTGATTTATAGATAGGCCTCTACAGGCAGTCTGACATGGAATAAAGTCTAAAGTTTACTTCAGTATTCCCCAGGCTTCTTGTTCAGTGAATACCTATCTCACTTAGACCTGAAATTTTTCTGCTAGCTAGTGAGGTGATCTTTATTTTAAATGAGGAATTATTTTCTTCTGCACTGTAATTAGATCTGAATTACCAAACTCTAGGTTTAGAACCACATTGAGTCCTTTGGATCATAAGTACTAATTCAAGAAAAATTATACTTATTAGATTCTCTGGCAGATATTAGATTGTTCGGCAGATACCTGGAATGAGTTAACTAAAGCAGTGGTTTTTATAATTTTTTGAATACTAGAAAACAATATGTACATGATTAAAGTGGTCTACATGATTTAGCTGATGTGAGTTTCCTGTTTAGCACGCCAAGCTTCACATCCTTATTCTGATCTTCCTAGCCTGTCCCTAAGGTAACTCAATGACATGCTAAGGCACAAAAGAACACATTTAGGAACACCTCCAGAAATAATGGGCTTGCGGCTTTGAAACCGCAATTCAGTGTATTGGTCAAAAGCATGGACTTTGAAGGCCCTGTCTTAAGACCTAGATCCACCGTGAATTCTTCCATTTTTCATTTGTGTTGTGTCTATCCTCTTTAATCCTGCTTCCTTATGTGCAAAATCAAGATAATTATACCTAACTTAAAGAGCCCTCCTGAGGAGAAAATGAGAGTAAGGAAATTAGTAAGATGCCTTGGCACGTAGTAAGCACACAGTAAATGTTACTTTTCCTCCTCCTCTTAATAAGCTACATGCCTTCCTTAGGAGTGTAAATTATGATAAATTAATAGAAAAATTGATTCTTCCTTTGATCAGTCATTGATGTGATGATATCTGGTTTTATATCCTAATTTTTAAAAATAATTCATATGCAAAAGAAAAGAATCGGAACAAAAGAACCAGGTAGAACAGATGGAAGAACATTATTTCATTACTTTTTAATGTTACTTAAATGTCACATATCTGGGAATTCCCATATCTTCCAGTGTTGTTAGGTCACTCTTTCTTGGACTTTTAACTAAAAACAAAACTGGTTTGAGCTCATCCCATGAATACTCAAGCCCCATAGGGATTCTTAGGCTCCGATCATGTTTCCTAAATAATTCCTGTTTTCTGTTTCTACCGAATCTTCCCAATACTTCATGTCTCTCTTCCTGTGGTTGTCTCTTCTCTCTACTTGGAATTAATCCAAACTTCTTATCCTGGCGATCCCTAAAGCATTACTGCGAAAAGTGGATGTGTGAAGGGATGAAGGTAGTACAAGACAGCAATGGATTTAAAACTGTGTTAACTCATTCTTATTCTTAGGTGTGCAGTTCTTGGCCCTATGCTGATTAGTTTAACGTGTCTATTTGGCTAGGCTACAGTACTCAGGTATGCAGTCAAATACTAGATACTGCTGTGCAGATATTTTGTAGATGTGGTTAACTTCTACAATCAGTTGACTTTAAATAAAGGAGACTGTTCTCCATTATGTGGATGGGCCTCATCCATTTAGTAAAGAAGTGTTAAGAGCAAAACTGAAGTTTCCCTAAGAAAGAAGAAATTCTGTTTCAAGACTGCAACATCAGCTCTTGCCCAAGAGTATAAACTTGCCCACCTGAGCCCTACCACATACTCATATAAGCCAATTCCTTGAAATAAATATATCCATCATCTATCTATCCTATTAATTTTGTTTCTCAGAGAATTCTGACTCCTAATACAGACCTTCTCCACACTTGGAATTTCTCATCTTATTTTCTCTAATAAAGTAGTTTTAAAGGGTTTAAAACTGATAGCAATGATTAATCACACTAATTGTTATGAACAATACTGGTTGCTATTTAATCAGTACTGATATGTGTTAGGCAGACATTCATAGACTCTATTCAACCACCTCTCTGTAGGTTCCTAACACATTGAGCTTATGTGGATTTTAACCATATCATGTAATTTTGAAGGGACCTTCATCAGGATCCTCTACTCCTGATGAAAAATCTCTAAGTGGACTGCTCCAGCACCAGAAACTCTATACATTCCTTTGGGCTAAAGATTTTGTTATAGAAAATTCTTTGCTTGGAAAAAATGCCCTAGGAGAAAAAGTTGATAATAATTTAGCTGCTAGGAGACCCAATAAAATATTAGCATTTTCTTGACAGATAAGCAAAAAACAACAATGGCCTAAATTTTTAATAAGTACAGTGTTGAGAATTATCCCCAGGGAGCAGACCTGGATGTAGTTCCTCAGTGGCGGGGGTGGGGGGGGGGGGGCACTGGCACCTGCAGGATGTGATAGAAAGAAGAGGGAGAAGAAAGGTGGGAGATTGCCAAAGGAAGTGTCTACTCCTTTATACTTGAATTGGTTCCAATCACACCTGCTCCCTTTAGGGGAAGCCTTTCCATTAAATGATTGTGATGACTTGGCAGGCAGACTGAATTTGGATGTAGGTAGATTATCAAAAGAATATTTTTGGCCTAATAACTATACCCTTTTCTGAACTGCAAAATATGTTCTCTGCTCCTTTCTTTTCCAGGGTCTCATAGGAAGGAAAGGGTGATTATCTTGCAGTCTACTGTTGGTTCCTCCAACTGTTCCTTTAACTTCATCCTGTCCTCGTGCTTTCTCAAGAACCTTATTTCATCTGTATTTATTCTCTTTGTCTTTGTCCCAATCTTGCGTTTTCTGCTCCAGTGTACCCAAGTACAACTTGGAAAAAAAAACTTTCACACATTCTGTTACCTCTGCTCTTAGCTCACTATAAAAAGTGTCTCTATTTCTGCCTTGATTTCTTCACTGTTCTTCACTCAAAGCAATGTGATTTCTATACAACTCATTGTATTGGTATTCTACAAGAACACTTTCAGTCAGTTGTGAAAAGCAATAGTCTTTTTTTAGTTCTTGTCTTTGTGGACCTCTTTTTAGTACTTAGTACTATTGGCCAGAATACAGGGCACCATTTCTCATTTTGACTTTCTTAACACTTGCTGATTCTTACAAATGTCCCCTTTACTGGTTGCACTTCCTCTTCCAACCCCGTAAATGTTGATTTACCCAAAGGTTTAGCTCTTTTCTGTAATAGTATTTAGTCAAGATTTTTATTGTCCCACAAGACATTTTCGATTACTTCTATATACATAAGACTCTATTGATCCAAACCATTCTCCTGAATCCACTTCTACAAAAATCTCTGGCTACCTGCTAGTCATTTCCATTTGGAAGCTTTTGTATCTTCTCATTATTAGAAGTGTTACAGCTCTTTTAGAATGTGTCTAGCAGGCTTTCTGGTTGTTGCTGGAAAGCCCCCTCCCCCACCACCAAAAAAAGAGAAAATTTGCAAACAAAGGGCTTATCCACATTAACAAACTAGTGTTTCTCTCTCAAATATCGTCCTTTCCATCCCCACCCTCTAGTCACTGGGGTTACAAACTTTGGAGTCCTTTTATCTTTACTCACAAAATCTTACTGCACCTTCATGAAGATGTTTGCAGTACATTCTTTTAATTCACTTCCCTATTACCATTCTATCTCCAGACTTCAGTATTCAGATCTGGATTATAGTCCTATCCCCACCCCTCACCTCCAAGTTGCAATGACTTACATAATCTTTGGGTGACACATCATCTTGAATGTGATCTTTTTTTTTAGCTTCTTTGAAATGCTTTCCTCCTGTTCTCTTCTCCTACTCTTCCTTTGACACCTACCTCAAATTTTGACACCTACTTGTTTGTTTCAGTTGCCAGTAAATTTCATCTTTTCTGAATTTCTGAAACATTTTTATTCATAAACATATCTTTATTTAAATATATTTATGTCAATATCCTCCTATCTTGCTGAACAGACCTTAAACTCTTTGGAAATCAGGGACTAGTTACTCTAACTCATTTATCCCCAATATCTAAATGACAGTTTGTTGTTGTTAGTGCTAAGAGTCTTCAATTGTTTTATTTCTACAACAAAAATGAAGCAGTGGCTGGGTGCAGTGGCTCACGCCTATAATCCCAGCACTTTGGGAGGCTGAGGCGGGTGGATCACGAAGTCAAGAGATCGAGACCATCCTGGTCAACAAGGTGAAACCCCGTCTCTACTAAAATACAAAAAATTAGCTGGACATGGTGGTGCATGCCTGTATTCCCAGCTACTTGGGAGGCTGAGGCAGGAGAATTGCTTGAACCCAGGAGACGGAGGTTGCGGTGAGCCGAGATCGTGCCATTGCACTCCAGCCTGGGTAGCAAGAGCGAAACTCTGTCTCAAAAAAAAAAAAAAGAAGCAGTATTTCATAGTATTAATAGTTAATAGCGGAAGTGTCAGCCTTGGTTTACACTTCGACTTTGCCAAGTATTAGTTCTGTGACCTTGGCCACGTTGTTTCAACTTGCTAAGCTGTACCTGAAAAAATTTAGATAATAATAGTACCTGCTTCAAATGATTATAAGAATGAAAAATATAATATGTATGTAAAATATACACATAAAGTGTTTGGCATACTGCCTGACACATAGTAAGGAGACAGGAAATGTTAGATATTACATAGTAGGTACTCAATACGTATCTGATGAACGATTGCGTTAATACCATACTGCTGAATTAGAAAATTATACACTTTCATAATTTTGCCATGTTCTTAGGGTCCTATTTCTGTATTTATTTATCAAAACTTGAAAGAATAAGATGAATTAAATGTGTATTACTGAATTGTTTTTTACCAGGCTTGGGCTGGGGAAAGTTAGTAATATTTATTAAATGACTGTTGAGTTTACAATGCTGTAGGAAGCTGATAGTACTTTTTGGTATAGATTAGACTGACTTCACATTTCAGTAGAAAGGGCAGATTAGAAAAATTTGAATCTTGACTTTATTAATAATTAGCTCTCTGATTTAAAGTATGTTGGTTTACTCTGCTAGTTTTTTTTTTAGCCTTTTTTAATGTGGTAAGAATTAAGTAAAAATTAATATATTAAGTATTACATTCTGTAAACAAAAATGCTACATAATAAATACCCTTACTTGAGTATTTTACCTTTAAAATAATTTTTGTATAATTTTAATTAGCCTTAAGTTATTTTTACTAATTTATTTATTTATTTATTGGAAAATATTATTTCTTCCATTTCCTAAAATGCTGGGCTTTCAATTACTTGGAGTGGTTTTTTCCAAATAGTGAAATATGAATGTATTAATTACTATGCATCAGGAGCTATGCAAGGCACACACAAATACATTTGCAAATAAGCAATGTAATAGTGTTTAGTAAATTATCACTAAAGTGCTAAGTGAACACAGAAAAAAGAAAAAAGGGGTGATTAATTCTTCCCTTTGATGGTGATGGCAAAATTATGAATGATGATTGGACTTTTTAAATTCTCTTTCCTGAGCCTTGGAGGTAAAGTAGAAGTTTGCCAGTACACATATGAGTGGGTATTCTCAGCAGCATGAGCAAAGGCAGACCGGTTGGAGAGTGCTATTGTATTTATAAAATCATGGATACCCTGTTATGGTTATAACACTGATGTGATATGTGTGTCAGAGGCAGTGGTGTGCTAGTGTCAGCTCACTCGTGAGAACCAGCTGTGTATATCTCTTCCTGTCTGCATTCACTGCTATCTTATGTGTAGTTTGAAATTGGCCATTGTGGAAGTATATAGACCCCTACAATTGGCAAAGACAACAAATCTGGGTGGTGGTGGTGGTGGTGGTGCTGATGATGATGGTAGTTGGTTTGTTTCCCACCCCCTTCAGAAAGCTGATCGCTAAACATGCATGAGCACACCTCTTGTATGAAGAAACAGTTTGACAAGTTTAATCTGAAAGGGTAAATAAGGTGAGATTGTGAATGGCTTGGTAAGATAAGCTAAGGAGTTTGAATGTTAAATAAGTTTCATTTATGACTTACACTGATATGTGACATTTTGTGGGCAAAATCTCCAGAGAAAAGTGAAATTTTGCGAAGTGGTAACACAAATATATCTAAACAGAAACCTGATTTTGAGGGCAAATAATTATAAACTGTGCGAGTAGATTAGCATTGGCAATGCTCAGGGTAAGAAATAAAAACATTTGGAAAATACTTGGTGGTCTTGTCAGCCAAAATAAAATGTTCTCTGCAGTTGTAAGAATTCTAAGAATCGTTTCTACTATGTAAACATTTGTTGGTAATGCTAACATTGCCTCTTGACAAGACTTCACCTTTCAGGAAATAACAAGTAAATACTAAACCTATACAATTATTTATTTAAAACCCTTTCTCTTTGTGTTTCTTTTAGAGGAAAAAAAAAATGACCAGTGAAGACTTTAATGCGTAATAAGGAAGTAGACTAAAGGGCAGAAGTGGCAAATTAGGTAACTTCCTTTAAATAGATGGTCAGTCACAATTATGTGGGGCTTTGCTGTTTTTGAAATGAAATGGTCAATGAGAACAAGCTAATTACTCAACTAATCTTAACCGTGTTTTAACAATATGACACAACCTGAAAGGAGAAATCAAAGAAGTAATCAGGAGAATCCTAAATGTCCTGTGAAAGAAAGTTTCAAGTCTGTACATGTCTACATTGATTTTTGTTAATAGATATTATCTTCTAAAGCTGGGTTAGAGTAAACAGTTTGTCAATAAGGACAACAGCACTAATTAAGTGCTTATTATATGCCAGAATTTTTCTACGAGCTTTACATGGGTTCTCTTGTTTGATATTCTCAACAACTCTCTACTGTAGGTTATTTTTATTATCTCTATTTTACAGAAGAGGTAGAGGGACAATGTCAAAAAAAAAAGAAAAAGTAGTATGTGACATAGCTGAGATTCACATCCAGGTGGGATACAGCAGCAGCAGCTGCCCTCCTAACTACCGCTGTATGACACAGTGGTTTAAAATGTGGACCTGGGAGCAGCAGCAGCTGTGGCAGCACTACCTGGGAACTTGTTAGAAAAGCAGATTTCTAGGCCCCTCTCCAGGACTGCCGAATCAGATAATATGGGATAGGGCCCACAATTTGGGCTTGAATAAGCCTGCCAGGTGATTCTGATACATGCTAAAGTTTGAGAACTGCTAACCTGTATGACACAGTCTTCATAGTCAGGTCTAAGAATATCGAATATTTTAATGAAAATGATCTTATAATATTGAACAACACGTGAATGCATGTTGCAAT